ACACACCCACACCACCACACACCCACACCCACACCCACACCCACACCCACACCCACACCCCACTTTCATCTAAAACAGCCACTGTTGCTACACAACGAGTACATGATCTTATACTCGATTATATTAAAGAGGCTACACAAGGTTTAGCTAAAATGAGCATTAATAGAATTCGTCGTGCTTCGATTGAAAAAGACGAATGGGATGCTCTAAAAACATTTGAAAATGTTGCATCAGAACAACAAAAAATGTATGCTAAAACCTTTTGTAGATCAACATTGAATAACTACCATAAGAAAAAGAAAAGGTTTGAATTGGTAGCTGCACATATATCAAATGATATAATACCGAAAATCTTACCACATTATGACTTTAATCTTCCTGTGGACGAAAATTCACTTACAAGTGAACAGACTCAGGAATACAGAAAAAGCATACATAATTTATCAAAAGATTTTCGACTTAAAGCAATAGAACTCTATCTAGAAATCGTCAAAGAAGAATTTGAATTTCAAAAAGAAAGATTACAAAAACTTCTTGATGATTTTCCACAAGATAGATATGAAGTACCATCAACACAAATTGATATTAATGTTGTGGTTGATGATGATGATGAAGAACCTTTAGATAATGGAGTTTTTACTCAAAAACCATTATCATCACAACAACAAGAAGCTATAAACAATGAAAAAGGTTCTGAATTATTTAAAAAATATATTGTAATTGCACATAAAAGAGCTCAATTAGAAATTGAAAGAGAAGTGCATTTTTTATCCGAATGAGGCGTCCAAGAGACGCCAGTCGGAACACAAGAGCCAAAAGATCTAAATCCAGTAATGCGAATGGATTTTTTGCTCCAAGTATAATAAATCAATCTGATATAAATTTAAATAGGAGAGAAGAGGCCCTCCTAAAATTAGGCCCGAAATATATTCCTAATAACCCTCATCTCGCTCATAAACGTATGAGAACTGAGATAGAGTTGGTTATGAAAAAGATTGATAAAATATTCATTGAACATGGATGGATACTACCTAAACAACGAATACAGATCTTTATAGACTCGCTCGAAAAGATCTTAACTGATTGTCATGGAAGATATCCGTCATCTGTTCAATTAACAGAAATCAATAATTTAAGAAATAAATTTGAAGCCACACAAACAGTCATCAGAAAGACAGATAAGTCTAAAGTTTTTCATTTAGGAAAGCTGGATGACTATAAAGTGAAGGCTCAAACATATATGATTAAGACTGAAGCTTATCAAGATTTGGGTGTAATAAACCCACTTGAATCTTTAGTTGAACGTACAAATAAGTTCCTTTATGGTTTATGGTATAATAAACATATTACACAAAAACAATATGAGAAATTAAAGGTAAATAAAGAAGAGGCTGAATTAGCCCACCTTTATTTCTTACCGAAAGCACATAAACCAGGAACACCATTAAGACCTATAATGTCTGGTCTCAAATCTCCAACCATTGCCATATCGAAATGGTTAGATAGTTTATTAAGACCTCTTTTCGATCGATTAGCATCTGAAACAGCTGTATTGAATGGGGTTCAATTAATAAAACAAGTTGAGAGATGGTCGGATAAATATCTTACACCAGCCACATCATTCATAACAATGGATGTTACTGATTTGTATACAATGATTCCTCAAGAAGGAGGAGTAACAGCCATAAAAAGATTAATTGAAACATCTGGTTTAAAACAAATCGATGGTGTTAAAAAAGAGATTATATTAGCTCTTACCAGATTTGTTATAACAAATAATTATTTCTATCTTGATGGGTCATATTATAAACAAATAAAAGGAGGCGCAATGGGCTCGCCACTCACCCTCACTATAGCAAATACATACATGTACTTTGTTGAACGTCCAATATTCAAATGGGCTCAAAGAACATGTTCATTATATTATAGATATATAGATGATTTATTTATCATGTCAAATGTACATGCAGATATATTAAAAGGTCTTGTAAAATTCTGGAATAGACTTGATAATAATATCGTATTTTCAGAATTCATAGGACATACCGCAGAGTACCTTGATGTTAAATTAGAGAACAGAGGAGGAAAATTGGTATCTGAAGTTTACTATAAACCATCATACGAACCATATTTCCTCCCTTTCACAAGCATACATGCACAACATATAAAAAAGAATATTCCTTATGTAGCTCTTGTTCGAGCAATAAGATATTCTTCGAGTTATGATACATTTAAACGTGAAGAAACTCATATATGTATGTCATTGCTTTTAAATAAATATCCAATACAATTTGTACTTGAACAATTTGAAAGAGTTTTACAAACATTTCAATGTGCGGTGCCAACAAAAAAGAATTATTCTGAAATAAGAAGAATCTTTTTAAATGCCGCAGATAATGATGAAAAGAAGGCTGAAATTGATTTCAAGGTCAATATTTTTTGTCATTTCTCTTTTTCAAAAGGAATGCAAGATTTTCCGACCAGATTTCATCAACTCTGGAATAATTGTTTTTCAGATACAGCCATTTGTCATATGAAACCAATTCTCGGTTCTAGAAGATTAGATAATCTTCAAGATTATCTTGTTAGAAAGAAACCAGACAAATCTCTACTAAAAATTAATCAACCACTTACTTAATGGAGTTGTTGTCAAAAGAACACTTCTTATTCTTTCAGATAGGAGTTCTTTTTAAAAGAAAGGGACACTTTTTATTCCTTCGGATAGGAGTCCTTTTGTAAATCTTTTACCTCAGCTATTTGTTAAACGAACACTTCTTATAGGAGTTCTTTTACAAAATCGCTTATTTATT